AAAAGGAAATGAGAGCAGTGTCTTGCTCCACTTCTTTCAACAACACCTATTACAGCATCAGTGAAGACCTCCATAAATGACCAATCTTTAGACATTAAGATTGACTGTCCTGAAATAAATGGATATTAATGATCAAATACCTCATTATTCCAATTGAGAGATTCAAATAGTTTGATTACCCCAAGATAAATGCATATTAAGCCCAAAAGTATAACAAATACCACATTGTATTTTGCTGTTGACTATGATAGATGGAGTGGCACATTTCCTGCTGTCCTCACCCCAGGTCTCTCGAAGAGAGGATGAGACTGAGAGAGATAGAGGTATAGAGAAGTGGCCAAGGGCAGCCTAATTATAGCCAAAGACATAACTCCCAACAGCCCTGTCACACTTTTGCAAACTCACACTCCTCCTTTTCAGTAAGAAGTGCTCCATACATCTCATCACAGAACTTCTTAACACATCTTCATACAAACAACCCACTCCCACTCAAACCGACCGTCCGATACTAAACTGATCAGACCATTAAAGCCGTGCAATAGCTGTGTGAAGCCACAGTACTGAAACAGGAAGTGATTTAACAGGCCCAGTACATCTGTAGCTTGAGGTGAATGTTGTATATTAAGAAAGTAGACAAAGCTCCTGCTGTATAACTGTTTCAACAAGGTAAACTCTGTGCACACTGAACCACTAAAACATCTACAGCATGAATAACACGTTTTCAATGTTTTTGTTGAGCACACAGTCCAGCTTGTGCCAGGGGTTTGATTTGGAAGTACTCGACTTGTGTTAGAGTTGCCAAATCGTGTTTAACCGGAAAAAAAAAGAATGGAAATGGGATTTAAGAGCTATAAATGTTTACTTATCAGCTGAATTAAAAAGAAGGCCAATTATAATGAAAATGTAAGATCCCAGAACCCAAGTTGAAGCCTACAGTAAATGCCAGCAATTTATACAATATTTCAGGCCTTTCTGCACTTTTATGTGTGGAAGACATTCCTCTTTCTATCATTATAGTCTGTCTGAAACTTTTAATTAAAAATCAATCCAATGTCTGATTGGCATCCATAAGCTGTAATCCATTTGCAATATGGCTAAACACAGTTTTACTCAAGCATGGATTAAACACAAAAGGCAGACAGGCAGCATCCCTCAGACGGATGGGTGCAGAATTGGGTGGGGGAGGTAGCCAAAATCCCGAGCCAGATTAGACACATAAAGCCAGACTGAAGAAGAAGGAGAGAGAAGACTGATGCTTTGAGACAGGCCCATGCAGTGAGGAACCCTTTTTTAAGACACCAACTCACTCACTGAGTCACACTAGCAGGGAGTAGGAGCGTCATGCTAACAGGCTGCCAGAGGAGAACTCACTTATTCTCCTTGACTAAACCTTGAGACCTTGTCTAAATCTGTTATGACTCAGCATATAACTTATACACGTCATGTAAAGGGAATATAATTCAGAAACAGAACTCTATAATGGTAGTAGCCTACTAAACACAATAGAGCATGCATTGTCTTTCACAATCCATTTAGGTATGCATTTGTGTAACTGAAGTCTATGAGAGGTTTCAGGTATTGGCAGTGTGTTGGCTGAGCAAGAAAGAGCTCAAAGGAACATTTGATCGCTCAAAGGTTATTCTTTCTAGCACAAGAGATTTTTTTTCAAAATGCTTAAAAATTGGTTTAAATTTTGTCCAAAATTAAATTAAACAAAAAATATTTTAAAAATAAATAAATTAGCCAACAAAACGTTAGATAATTAGGGTTAGATCGGGAGTTAAAAGCTCCAATTGCAGGTTACCACTTTATACAGTGTAGAGCAATATAAAATATTGTGAATTTCTTAGTGAATGAGTGAAGTACAAAATGGCATCGTCTGAAACTTAAGTGGAGACTACTAAAGGGGGTTTTCAATAATATTTAATGTTCTATCATCATTTACTCACCCACATGTCTTTTCAATCTATATGACATTCTTTCTGGAGAACAAAAACCGATATTTTGAAAGTCAATGGGGTGCAAAACAAAACTGTACTTTCATTGTACAGACAAAACATCTTATATTTTCTTCTGTGTTCTGCAGAAAATCATACAGGTTTGGAACAGCACGAGTGGGAGTAAATGATGACAGAATTCCTTTTCAGTTGAACTCTCTCTTTAAGTTTCTTTTTCCTCTCAGGAGAAACATCTAAGAATCAGGTGACTTCAGCAAAAAAAATCTTCATTTGTTCTTTTTGAATCACATTGTTGTCTAAGATAAACAATTGACATATTTAAAAGATCTCATTTGTGTATTATATTTCCTTTGAGAGAGAGTATGCGAACAAAGGGGCTGTTTACTGACGAATGCAACCACTGATGTTCTCTGACTGCCTCTTTCATTCAGTGTGTATAATTATGGGCTGTGTGCACTAAAATGGTAATCTGTAGTAGTCAAGACGCTCCATCTTTAGCCCATCTGCACCACCGCAACCTCTTAAATACACCAATTCCCAGCATGCTCCGAGACATTTCTAAACAAAACAGCAACAATCAGCTACAAACTACAATGTTGAGCTTTACCCATGAGTGACTTTTGGTCACGTACAATAACTCTGCTAGGGGCTTCTCAGAATACTATAATACAGAGCAAACAAACCAATGGAGGCATATCAGGACATGCTCATGGAATGCTACAGAAAACCCCATTGAAGTGAAAACGGTAAAATATATCAATTGGAAAACCCCAAGACATCCCAAACTGAATCTCGGTTACAAACCACAACAAAACTACCAAGAAAAATTAGACCCAACCCTGGCATTTTACAATGAAAGGTTGAGGAGAAAGAGGAACAAGCACTTAAAACTCCTACGGTTTCAATGAAAGTAGTGCAACTCAAAGAGGAGCTTCTGCAAACACTTAGTTCCCAATGGGAGAGATTGAGTATTCTGCTCAAATGGCTGTTACTGTACTTTTCAAAAATTTTGGGGTGAACTGTCAAATTTACAAAAGTCTTTTCTGTCTTTTCGCTCCATACCTTTATGACTTTTTTTCTACTAAACACAAAAGAAGATATTTTGAAGAAGTCAAGTCAAAACAGCTTTGGATTACACAGAAGAAAGAAAGGCATGGGCCTAATAAATGAAAAGAAATGAACTGAGGGAGGGTTAAAGAGATGCCCAAATTTGACTTTTCACTGCACTGGAAGGGCAGAACAGTCATTGTGTTTAATTGTATAATCTCAGAATCATCATTAACTTCTAAATAATACATTATAAACCCCTGCAATTTCACTGTCGGACTTCTATCAAGCCATTCGCTGCAGTACGTTTCCCAAATGAAAACTGCTGACACGCTGCTAACTCAGCAACGCTTTATACACACACACACGACCGAACAGATGCACCATGTGCACACAGACGGACAAAACCCCAGAATTTAACACACAAACACTCTATTCTCAGTGTGCATCAGGTTAAATGCATTCATTCAGATACAGCACAGCATGATATGATTTCTGCGTTGACTGAGCTTTTTTAAAGATTTGTACCTTGACCAAAAATGAGTTTTCCTCCATAGTTATTAGACACACAGTACTGAACTTTATGACATTTTCTGACTGCTCTTCTAACATGTTCTCGAGGAGATTTCAGTTTCTTAAAGATACTGTCATTGTATTCTACATCATTCACAGATTTATTTCTGGATATTGTGCTAAATAAAACAGCACTTGATTTCAGCTCTCTTTTACAAATCTTTTCAAGGAAGTTTTTTGGCATTAAGAAACGCCACTTAAGAGAAATAGCTGTCCTTTAAAAGCAAAAGGGAGATTTAATAATTGAATTAGCTGAAGTGCATGATTGGACAGTGGAGTGCAACAACAATGGTGCAACATTAATGACAGAGCACAGGCAAAATACACAAAGATAGGTAGCAAGTAAGATTTAAAAAAAACCTTCTGAAATAATTCAAGAATTTTAGATGCACCTACTGTAAAGGCAAGTGTACCTTACTCACATGATTCAAATGTTAATCATTTCCCATCTCAATAGCAAGAAAATCAAAGACCTCTGTGGGTCACAAATTATTCACTTGAGAATCCCCAATGATCTGGAGGGGGTCATCAGAATCCCACCTTCCCCTTTATATACAACTAATCAAATATGACAAATAGCAAAACAGAAAAACAAACAATGACCTCTGCTGGGAACTCCCCCCCCCCATACTCCCTAAACCACCACATGTATCAGCATGCTTCATCTTAATTAAACAAACTGGAAGTTCCTATAACACTGGAGCCGTACAAACAACCCCTTCAGCAAAAAAAAAAAACAAAAAAAAACCCCCAGCAAAAACAACACTTGTATACTATAAACATTATGGACTTTTGTCAGTGTTTCTCTTCTCTGTCATTTTTCTTTCTTGTTTCACAAATATCTATTTGATGGTTCTGATATAAAAGTATCAGTATACTGAAAACACATAAAGATAAATAAATGAAAACTGTTTATCTCGCTAACTCTCAGCATACATCTATCCAGTTCATTCTACAGTATCTATCCCCCATCAGTCAATCCATCTATCCATTTCTCTAACATCTGTTATTTCATCCATCCATCAATCTGATCATCAATCCATCTTGCATTTATCTATCCATTCATCCATCTCTCTTAAACCATCAATCCCTCCATCCATCAAACATCTGTCTGTTCATCTATCTATCTATCTATCTATCTATCTATCTATCTATCTATCTATCTATCTATCTATCTATCTATCTATCTATCTATCTATCTATCTATCCAACTCTCTCCACCCATACAGAAATTCTAACTATCTATCAGTTCATCCATCTGTCAATCCATCCACCCATCCATTCGTCTATCCATCAATCCATCTTTCTTTTATCTATCATCTATCAATCCATCCATCCACCTCTATCTCTCTCCACTAATTTATCAATCTATACATCTATCTATTCTATGGTCAGGTCAGGTGAGGAGATACCGGCTCTTACTTTGACACTTGAGTGCAGCGCTGTTGATCTGATGGCTGCAGGCGTCGCACCAGTCCTGACTCAGCCTCCTGGAGGTGAAGATGTGGCCCTCTCCCCTCTCCGCCTTCACCCTCGGGTCTCTAGGGGTGAAGATGGACCATGCCTCCATCCTCAGAGGCTCGCTTCGCATCTTCACTACTCCTGACCTTGCCTGTGTCAGCCTGTCGATCTGCAGTCCCTCCAGTTCGTCTGACGAGCAGCTTAAGTTTGACCCTGGCGAAGAATTGCGAACTTCTTGCGGAGACGAGGACGCGTGAATCTTTGCCGTGTCCTTCACAGAGCTTCTCCGGCTCCCGGCGCTGTGTCTGCGAAATATTCCGTTATTATTGTTTACATTCTCTCGGTCCATGTCCACAACAGATCCGTCCATATTACTACGTGGCGAACCGGCACTAGTGCCTCGGTTGTGTGATGCTGAAGGCGGCTCGTGATTGAATAACAAGAGCGATGCTGAGACTGCGGCTCTCGCGCTGTCCACATCACTCGCTCTGTTTCGCATGATCTTCTCCAGCGACCATTTACGTGAGAATTTCTTTCTTTCGCTCGACTTCAGTTTGTGGAGAAGTTGCTGATCCGGGTCGAGGTGGTGTTGAGCAGGGTGCTGTCCTAAAGTGACGGACGCCATGCCTTTCGGCTGGAGTTGTATGTGCGCGGAATACAAACTAAATTGAAGCGCCAGCGGCGAGCGTGTGACGTGCACACTGAAGCAGCCGCGCGCTTTAAATGTCACAAGAATAGCGGGCGTGCGCGAGCCTGCCCCTTACAGACTCATGATCACTACTTCTCTTATTCCACTCTTCTAGTCAATTCAGCTTTATTTACATAACGCGTTATACGATACATATTGCTTTAAAACAGCTTTACAGGGATAAACAGAAAAATAAAGGCCAATGATGCAAACAGGATTCTATTTAGCTGTAAAGTAGCTCTAAAAATATGTGTCATTGATCAGATCTATGGTCAGTTCAATAAATGTAATCAAATATAAAAATGAGTTAAATTCAGCTGTAACGCAGCTCAAAAAACAGAGTGATGTCATCGTCCAGCTCAGTTCAGTTTTAAGAAGTGTTTTTTCTTAAATTTAACAGTCTCATTTACAAAACACAGTACTTCTTTACTATAATTCATTACAAACACATACACAAGTTCTGACATGAATTTATCTTTGTTTCGTTTTTTCCATAACAACCATATAGACTTTTTATACCCACTGCATCATAGGCTACACACATATATATATATATATATATATATATATATATATATATATATATATTCATTATAGAATATTATTTTTTATCATTTAATAGATTGTTTAAACTTAAAATAATTTTAATTAAAAATGTAAGTTTCACCTTAACACAATGGTGAAACTTACATTTTTAATTAAAATTATTTTAAGTTAAATAATTTTAAAACATTTTATTTGTGCAAAGTATACAAAGTACCAATTACACTAGAAAGTGAAGATAAAAAAAATATAAAACATTTAACAAATCTGTTTACAAATATGCCAAAAAAGGTAAGTTGATAAAATTCCACGACACAACAAACTTAAAAACGGAACCACAATGTGGTCTCCGTAAGGTCACCATAGGTCCCCCCAGCACAAGGAATTCCCCATAATGTGACATCAGAACCCACCCAGCACATATTTTACTTTCACTTCAAGTAGTAACATGAGTCTGTTGACAGTCAGTATTTGTAGGATGATAATCTTTGCTTGTTTCAGATTTTTCAGAAGTCCAGCTGAATCCTCTCAAACAAAAAAAAAAAAAAAAGAAGTTTTTTAGAGCTCCATGTTTTGTGATTAAGTTGCTATTTATATGGACTAATTAAATACTTGCAGTTATCTCTCAAAACCAGAATCAATTACACATGGCAGATTAAACACCTCTCTCTTTATTCCATGGCTAAGCAATAATGACACTATTATTGTCAGCAGAATGCACAGTGCCATTAATATTTAAGTCTCAAGATAACTCAGGAAAACTGATGTAGCTAGTAGTTAAAACTGATCTATATTTCTTTCTTCTTGGCAGTTTAAATCCATACTACTATACTATATAAAGGTAAGTAATTACATTAACACTGACTTGAAAAAATGCATGACACATCATGCAATTTCAGCTGCCTGCCCTGGTAACAGCCAATCATCTGTTGTTTAGGGTTAGAGAGGTTTAAATAAGAACAATTTTGTGTTGTCTTTAATTTGTTTTGCTTTCTCTTTCCTTTTAGCTCAGAGATCTGGGCTCTGTGACATTGTGTTGCATTCTGTAGTCTTTGAGGTCTTCATGGTCTGTTGGGTTGAGGTATTTTTGTCTCCACTGGAAGTGTAGAAGTAACTACAGAAAGGCTTAAAAAATATGTCTTGTTAAATTTAAAAGGATTTTCCTGGAGTACACATTAACAGTAGCACTTTCAGCTAAACACCATACCTTTGTATCATATTGTTGTTATTCTGCAGCTCCCGTGCCACAGCCTCCATCTCATCCTTTAATCTGTTCATTCTGCAAACAATTTCATCATTTATATACAGTAGCTGGAATTGATAAATGCTGTCTCATCTTCATTACAATGACATACTTGAGAATCATGTGCTCATCTTTTGTTGGTCCATCCACCCCCTCAGCTCCTATTGGCTGGTGGAGAGCTCTAAACACAACTCTGTCAAGAACCTGCAAAGGTGGAGAAGAGGAAGGGAAGATGGTCAGGTTACTTTCAATCCAAGCTTTCTGACGATCAGGAATAAAAGTCAAACTTTAGAATAGATCAATCCAATTGGTTTAGAAAGAAAAACGTGAATTAAGGGAAGGAGTTAAGCTTTGGAAACGAGAATTTTTGGAAGCTGATCAGAAGTGATGCCAGAACTAATTGAACTGAAACTGATTTCACCCAGAAAGTTTGTAAAAAATCTCCATAAAAATCCATATGCTGCGTCCAAAATACAGTAGCATATTATATAGTAGGTAGTACATTTGGTTTGAAACTTTCTTTGCAACCGCTAAAAAAAGAATGTTCTATGTAGTATGAATGAAATTCGGACATACTACATCTGCCATGTTGTTATTGTCATGTGACATACTTCATAAGTTGCGTCGCTTCACTTCAATTCACAAATCCTCTTAAAGGAGTAGTTCACTTAAAAAAAAAGAAAATTGCTGATAATTTACTCACCCCCATGTCATCCAAGATGTCCATGTCTTTCTTTCCTCAGTCGAAAAGAAATTAAGGTTTTTGATGAAAACATTCCAGGCCTTTTCTCCATATAATGGACTTCATTGGGAACCAAACAGTTCAGCGTTTCAGTGCAGCTTCAAAAGGCTTTAAACAACACCAGACGATGAATAAGGGTCTTATCTAGCGAAACGGTCGCTCATTTCAAAAATAAATAAAAAAGTTTAAGTTTTATAAGCACAAATGCTCGCCTAGCTCTGTTCAGTGATGAGCGTTAGTGACTCTCCTGTTCAAACTCGTTCATCAAAATGAACAAATCTTTTTTCGAGTCATGACTTGAAGGGTCCTAGATAAGACCCTTATTCATTGTCTAGTGTCATTTAAAGCCCTCTGAAGCTGCACTGAAACTCTCATTTGGACCTTGAACCGTTTGGTTCCCATTGAAGTCCATTATATGGAAAAAATCCTGGAATGTTTTCATCAAAAACCTTAATTTCTTTTCAGCTGAAGAAAGAAAGACATGGACATCTTGGATGACATGGGGGTGAGTAAACTATCAGCAAACATTTTTTTTAAAAGTGAACTAATCCTTTATGTGGCCTAGTGGGATAGTAAAGTGTCCAATGAATGCATGCTTAGAATCTCTGCAGAAATAGATCACCCGGGTTCTTTTCTACCTACTATGTATACTGACACACTACTCGACTTATATACTGTTTTTCGACAACTATATAGTAAGGAAGTAGGCATATTCAGATGCAGCGATAGTCACTTTGCAGAAGGCAGTATTTAGTAGTAGTTCAACTAAGGTGTACAGTAGGTAAACGAGGAGAACTGCTGTAAAAAAAATAAAATTCTACCCTCACATTCTTGTCCAGAAGGGATTAAGCCAACACATTTTTTTTAATGAGAAAAACACAGCCATGTTCATTTTGGACGGGATTAAAATCACAAAGCGAGTCTGTGAAACACAAAATTTACCTAACCTCCTCAGGGACAACTAGTCATGCCTGAAGAGGGCTAAAGACAGACCATGTGTGTAGGGCTGACCTTGTTCTGCTGGGCCTCACACACATGCAGATCCGCAATTCTCTGCCGCAGGACACCACCAAAATGTTCGAGAGTTGTATGCATCTCATAGAGAACTCTGTAGAAATAAGACTCACATGGTCATTGAAATTATGTATGGCATTGACAAGCCATAAAAATAGTGTCAGTAATGTATAGTGTATGAAATTGAAACTTGAATGAAACTAAAGAATCTGTGCTGCCAACACAGAGGTTAGTTATAAGTGTTGGGAAGACTAAGAATCTCTGGAGACTGGAAACAAGATTTACTGAGATTATAATCCTGTTGTTTTGTTATTGTACACACAAATAAGAACGAGTCTGTACTGGCACTAAAAGTCACTTCAGATGAAAAATCCATGCCAACTAATTAAATGTACAAATGCAAAGAATTACACATACGAATTGTGAGCTCTTACTCATCTGACCTCTGTCTTACCTGTTCCAGCTCCCAGCAGCCATCAGAACATCCTGGTACTTCTGCAAACAGTCATCCTTGAATATAGTCTTGACTTTCCTTATGTATGAAGCCAGATTGAGCCTGGGCAGAATATAGCGGTTTCTCAGTTTAATTACCGTGAGAACAGACATTCATTCAAGATGCTATTTAATACTTACTTCTCAAACTTGTGAATCTGTTCGTCATTATAGCTGAGCTCTGGAACAGAAAGTGAATGAATTAGCAGCAGTCAGAGAAAATTTTCATAAAAACTGGACCCAACACCGTAGTTCTTTTTTGTTTGATTGCTCAAGATAAAACTCTATTTTAGCTGACTGGCTTCTCCGCAGAGTCATATCTAACATTATCAATGCAGCCAGGCAGAAAGGGGAGTTCTACTCTTCTGTCTCCATGCTTGCCGGTCTGGAATGGTCCTTGCTATCAGATAACAAGCAACACTGAAATTAATCTCACTAATCTCAGCAACTGTCTCCACTTGTGAAACTCCACTTCCAGTTTCCAGGGGCCTTATGTATCAACACTGCGTACGTACAAAAACACAGCGTACGTCAGTTTTCACGTTCACGGCCAGATGTACTAACAGTGAAATTAACGTAAGAATGTGCGTTCCTCCAAGTAAACTTCATGTCTGGCGTACGTACATTGTCCGTTGGCGGCTCATAGAGGCAATAAAGTGAAGTGGCAAACATTACACTACGAATTGTTCTATCGCACCACCAGCTGTCAGATATTACTTAATAATGCCTAAAATAATGTATCAATTACAAATTACTTCACACGAGTCTTATTAAAATATTCTATTATGCAATTAAGTAAGTGCAAACCCGTCTAGCAATGACAGCGTTGGCTTAACAAGGAATACAAAATAAACTTCATTAATTGGGTCACTAAAGGTAAAAAAAAAAAAAAGAAAGTAATATTTTTATTCAGCAAGGACACAATGAATTTGTTTAAAAGTGCCAGTAAATGCATTTATAATGTTAAAAAAAGATTATAAGATTTCTATGTGTTTGATTTAAGTTTTTATTCATTAAAGAATCCTGAAAATGCTATATCACGGTTTCCATGAAAATATGAAGCAGAAGCACAGCTGTTTTCAACACTGATAATATTCATAAATGTTTCTTGATCATCATATCATCATATTAGAGTGATTTCTGAAGGATCATGTGACACTGAAGACGAGTAATGATGCTGAAAATTCAGCTTCTTTGGTCACAGGAATATATTACTTTCACATATATTCACATAGAAGACATTTTCAGTGAAATTTCGTTTCTTGCAGGTTTCTTTAGCTAAATTGGACTAATTACCATATTTTAATAAATTTAATTTAAATGTGCTTGTGCATGTGCGCTCAATTTTACGTTAATTGGGATGTACAAAGAGAATATGAGTGGGATCCTTTGTACGCAGACATTCATACATCTGTTTTTTTTTTTTTTTTGTGCGTACGCACATTTACAGCTTTGTTCGTAGGCAATGTTTTAGTATGAATTCAACGTTGAATTGAAAATGAATTGAAAGTCTTTGTACATGAGGCCCCTGGACTGTGAGCGACAGAAATCAATGGGTCACTGCCTAAAATACAGTACATTCACAGAGTTCAGTGAATTTTTGCCAAGCGTCCTGAAACCACAAATTGGTTGAGAAAAACTTTTATCATGGGCTTATAGCTTTTATCTAACCTGTAGAAATTCAGACCTTTTTCACAACAGGTGTCCTGAATTTGTTTTGTGTTATGTTATATTGTTATATGACAGGAAAAACAGGCTTCTACTTACTTCCTGTCACTCGATCGTTGTAATAATGCTGATGAACTGCAACAATCTTCCCAAACAAAACCTCCATCTTCTGGATGCTGCATTAAAAAGAAGATGTATTCTTCTCATTATTACTGAATTAAAAATGAAAACAATCACTGTATTAATAATTCATTTTATTTTATTCAATTTATAAATCTTAAATAATGCTTGTGTGTGTGTTTGTTATGTACAGTACACAATATGTTTATTTCATTAGCAAACATGTCACTATAATTGTTAAGTTCTTTCCATCTATCAATGTTCTGCAAAAATAACGATCGACCCCCCCATCTCTCTTAACCTCTTATCCTGGGCCAGTGTCTCCGAGTGTTTAGACAGCATCACGTGCAGGTGCTGTAGTTCATTCTGGAACTCTCTGATTCCAGTGCTGTACATTCGCTGCAAATCCTCTTCTATCTACACACAATGAAAAACCTCAAGGATGAAAACTATGTCGCATTCTAATTCATGTATTCAATATACATTTCACAGAGAACAGCTTTTACCAGTTGGAGCTGCTTCTTATTGTCTATAAACTCAGGAAACTCATGTTCAAACTTCTGAGTGCTGGTTGGGAAAAATAAAGAGATGTCCATCACTAAATAACAAACTTACAACAAAATATCATGAAACTAATGCTTACTGTAGTTTAATAAGCATTATTTAAACACATATTCAGTATGCAAATCCTTACAACCGATTGAGATTCGCCTCTGTGCTGATAGAAGAAAGCAGCTTCATATTCACCATGGCAATCCTGTTCGCCACATTCTTGCATTCAAAGCCTGTGTTTTCACTGAAAAGTCAAGAATATTGTTATTGGACACACTAAAATATCACGGTAATCCCGTAATTGGAGGTTGTGTTTTCTTGTGGCAATATTTATCCGGATGGTGACGCATGCAGAACACTAATGATATTAGCACTCACATGTAGCTATAGAACCCCTGCAGAATCAGTTCTCTGTCCTTCTGAAATGAGCGAGCTATATGCAGGTACTGATGAATGACCCTAACAATGCTCTTTAGGAGGAACAAAAACAACAGGACAGTGTGAGGTTAAGGGATAATAGTGTAATAATGTCCACCAAAAATAAGCACCAAAGATAAAAACAAAAGAGGCTTGCTTACCTTGGAGAAAGAGTAATCTGCCATGATGTCAAACTTTGTGGGCATGGCGGGGGCTTCAGCTACAGGACAGATGGAAACAGAAGTGATGGTGGAAGAATAAAGAAAGAAAAGAGAACATGCAACCTCTCCTTATTTGTAAACATAAATTAAATTAAACATTAAATAAATATCTTAAAGTGTTCATAAAACGTGTCATAAAAGAAGAAGAAGAAGAAGAAAAAAAACTAATTTATTGTGTCCTTACGTTCTCTGTATGGATATCCTCCTAATTTCTCTGGTCGTCGGCTGATCAGAATGATAGGGTGGTCTGGACTGGTGGGAGGAAGGTTTACTACTTTCATGCTCGGCTCCAATATGAGAGGATGACCCTGAAACAGGTACTGTTGAGCCGCAGGTTCAATTCCAGTTTGGGCCTGAACATCCTCAAAAAAGATTGAGACCCTTGAGGAAAACAACAAGAAATTATATATTTCGGAGACACTGAAGTCATTCAGAAAAAAAAAAAAAATTGCACCCTCATTCATACCTCTATTGTATGGTATTATTTTTAAATTGATTTAAATTGACCTACAACAAAATGGTATCTATATTTACAATATATTGAGAAACAGAATTTTCATATACAGTAACTTAAAAAAATAGTACACATTGTAAAGTCACAGTAGTTTAGTTGCAGTAAACAGATAAGGAATCTCTTCTCTCAGAGCACACATACGTGTTGTGAAAGTGGATGTAGATGTTGTGTGTTGTGGCCTGCTGGAGAAAGAAGATGTGGACGGTGATGCGGTTCAGGATATCAGTGGTAGCAGCAAAGAACTTGACAAAGTCCCAACACTTCTCCTGATTGGCCTCCAGTATGCGGGCCAACACTGGGATCAGTTGAGTCTTCAAACCCCTACAAAAAAAAAATACAGAGCCATTGGTATGGAGCCAAACTCTTGAGGCCCACTAGAGATAGTTAAACCCCAGCCGGGTCAACAGGACCCTTGGTATTCTTGCTTCTCATTTCACACTGCTCATAATTTACCCGACATTAAAAAATAACCATTTAACACACTTGTGCATAGAGTAACTCACTCTGAGAGTAGGCAACTCTGTGGCAGTTGGTAGCTCCATTCAATGGGTCCGTCTTCCACCTTCTGCACACCTGCTATGGCTCCCTCTGGCTTCTCTGTTGTGATCTTGTACCTGGGAAGAGCACCAAAAGCCACCAAAAATAGCACAAAAATTAGTCTAATGCAAATAGAAATGCAACGCAAACAGGGTTACAGTTAAAGGACAACTCCGGCGCAAAATGAACCTTTGGTCTAATTACGCATTGCTACCTAGTCAACCGTTATCTGAGATTTGTTTTCATGATTGCCGAATGTAAATAGTTTTATCTCTAAAAACAGTTTAGCCTATAATGCTAGTATAATGCTAGTATATAGGGCATAGAGTAATGACAAATAAAAATCGCTTGTTATTACCACTAACAAGGCTTAAAATAGCCCCACACTAACACGACAGCATAACAAGGGTCCCTACATTCAAACCGAAGCATTGAGAACTTTGTCAGTGTCCATACAGTTTAATAAGAAGATATTTTATACACACAGTAAACTTCGTGAATAAAGGAAGAAGCCATCTTTGAAAAATAGTCTCTACCAGTCGATCTACGAACACCGAACCATGTGCGCTGAACTGTGCAGAATCTCATATGGTCCGTTGTTTCCAGAAGAAACACAAACACAAACCGTTTTCTTCTCTTCAATATGTACACGTAGCCTACTGTTCGCGCTCACCTTATCACCCTATACACATCTCACCAGCGCACTTGGATCGGCGTTCGTAGATCGACTGGTAGAGACTATTTTTCCAAGATGGTTTCTTCCTGTATTCGCAAAGTTTACTGTGTGTATAAAATATCTTCTTATTAAACTGTATGGACACTGACAAAGTTCTCAATGCTTTGGTTTGAATGTAGGGACCCTTGTTATGCTGTCGTGTTAGTGTGGGGCTATTTTAAGCCTTGTTAGTGGTAATAACAAGCGATTTTTATTTGTCATTACTCTATGCCCTATATAATAGCATTATACTAGCATTATAGGCTAAACTGTTTTTAGAGATAAAACTATTTACATTCGGCAATCATGAAAACAAATCTCTGATAACGGTTGACTAGGTAACAATGTGTAATTAGACTAAAGGTTCATTTTGCGCCAGAGTTCTCCTTTAATGCTTCATTTTAAAAGAAGAAAAAGCTATTAGCAGCTCCATACATAATAAATTATTCTATAATTTAGAGTTATGATTAATATATCATTTATAAGAAAAAAGCCAAGTAAATAATTTTTTCAAAATCAATTTCTTACATGATCTTCTTGTTTTTGCGTGGGCCTCCAAATGGTATGAAGGGAAGACTGCCACTGGCAGCATGGTAGAAGGTGACGCCAATGCTCCACAGATCCACAGACACACCATACGTTTTCTGCTGAGGTTTCCTCAATACTGCACGCTCATACATGTCCGGATGCTGAAACACACGTTCACAAGAGTTTTTATATCAAAGACCGACTTTATTCACAGACAGATCACAGGAACCACAACAAACACCTGATGACATTTCAGATATGATGTGCTGCAGTTTCTGTGAATGGCTAAAAAAACAGGAAGAGAAAGCTTTTGAGTTATTTGAACAATTCAACAGTGTTATCTCCTTACCAGATACTCCTCTGTGCCATATATCGACACAAACTTCTCATCATCCTCCAACTCACGGGCAGCACCAAAGTCTGTCAGCTTGTACACGGAGCGGCCATCCTCACCCACTTGCCTCATGATATTTCCAGGTTTGATGTCCCTGTGTACTACTCCATTCTCCCGCAGGTGGTTCATTCCTTGGACTGTATATGTGCAAATGGGAGAAAAGCACAATTTATACACAGAAACCTCTCTGGAGACGCCTTCTTTGAGGGCATAAACTGCTGTGTTTACCATAGGTGTATACAAAGTTTTATCAGAGAACGTCGTTTTACAAACAAATAATTATTTCTGTTTAAAATGTTACGCAAATCATGAAGAGACAAAGTGATATAGATTATAAAGAGACTATTAAAACAAGACAGAGAGGTACAATGCAAATATTTAATTCATAAATGGTGTGGATCTGTATGCAGTAACGAAGGAAGCACTGAGCACTGTCATGCAGTTTTGCCTCAGATACAGTATTTTCATGTGCAAATTTATCTGGTATTGGCTAGGAGTTTTTACACATGTGAGCGATTCAGATTACTGGAGGCGTGCAATCAGATTTCCGAGGGTTGGTTTGGTGACATTTGCTCAAGTGCAATCAACTTAGTCATCATAGCGAAGTAGCATTATGCTAGACAATCTATCTATTAAAAAGCCATGGCCTGCACAACTTAAGTCACTGCTTTCTGTAATATGCATGTACTCATTTGTACGCTGAAGAATAGTGGTGGAACGGTAGATGTATTCGTATTGAAACTAACCGGTGTGGGTGTCATGGTTCAGTGCAAGAATATAAAAACAAATAACTCGCATGCAAATTAATTAATGTAATGCAGAACTACTTTATACGCGGGATCTTTCGGGACATAATCTGAGATTGCAATGCTGGAATTTGTGATCAAACAGTGGAAACGATGTCGGCTCGTCATTTTGTTCATACAGGACATTATTCAAACTGCAATGTGTTAACATATTTGTTTAGACTCGCAATAAAACACAACATTGTGCTTTTGTCAAACAAATTCTTGCGTGTTTTGAGTGAGTTTCTTTCCTGTTGTTGTTCCGACAAAAAGCTTAGTCTTCTCACATTCATTGAGTCTAATGACGGGTATACTGTAAAATTGCAATTTAACTGAACCTCCGGCACGATCTTAACATCCATTGACCAGTAGATGACCATTTTCACTTTTTAGCACAAAACTCATTTCACTTTGTTGAACTCGTATTGCTTCTTCTAATGTTCTGCCCTCAGCAGTTGTGACGTCATGTGGGAACTATATATAGTGGCGATGGGACTACGTATCCGTTCCCTCCTTCAAGGAATGAGGGTTACGTACGTAACCGAGAAGTTCCCTTTCATATCCCCGCTACTGCATGCATGTTTTATGTTGTATTTACTCTGTCGGTTCTTACCCACACACTGCAGTACGATGAGGAACTCAGATTCAGGAAGTCCAAACGCATTCTCAGGCTCCTCCAGCAGGTTCAGCAGACTCCCACCTGAACAGAACTCCATCACCAGAACCCTCTGCTTCGGGTTCATATGCATCTGACATGCACAGGAATAAAAATGGCAGTGCTTTAAAAATGACATCTATTTTAGGTGAAGAGTCATTGAAGTTTTATAGAATGTTTGAAATAATGGTTTCATTTCATCTCATTTTAAGATCAAATTATATTGCTTAATTGATACAATACATATTATTTTTAAGTGGCTATAACCAACATACAGTACAGAACAATTTTTTTTTTATTTCACAGACTGCAACAATAAAACAGAATATGCAGCATGGAAATGCAATTATTATTACTACTACAATTATTATTTATTATTATTTTGTTTTTGCCATTTATGCCATGATAGTTAGTAGTAGTAGACCAAAAATAAACAGTAATAAATAAACAATAAAAACAGTAATATTATTTCTTCCTGTTTTTCTGTAAATGTATTTCTGTGATGGCAAAACTGAATTTCCAGCAGTCACAACTCACATTTATTATTATTATCAATGTTGAAAACAGTTGTGCTGCTTAATATTTTGTTATTAGGTTTTTGTCGAAAAAAACTTTCACTATTATTTAATAAACAGAAAGTTTAGCATTTATTTGAAATTGAAATTTTTTGTAGCAACGTTAAAGTCTTTACTGTCAAATCTAATGCAACCTTGTTGAATAGAAGTATTCCTTTCTTTAAAGAGTAACTAAACCCTAAACCAACTTTTTTTAGTTAATGATCTGTAAGAATGGATCTTTATTAACACCAGTCATTGATTCGAGTAAGTTTTTTGACATTTGTGTATAAAGTGTTTTATTTCTACAATATATGGTGTAAAAACGTCTTAGTGCTGCCCTCTTCAGGTTGAACGGTGGCTACTGCAGTTGAATTTCTTTATTGGATGTTCCGCACTTCGTGACTTACGCAGGTTTCAGCTCACCACGCTCTTGGTACGAGCTTGTTTCGTCAAAACAACTGTAGCAAGTCAGGAGTTAGAATTGCGAGTATTGAAAACGATCAGGATAGAGTGTTTTAGCATCTATTTCGTCCCATCTATCTCCGCTGGAGCATTTTTCAAATATTGCCAGTGGGTGGAGTCAGGTTCTGACCAGGGGTTTAGTTACCCTTTAAAAAACACCCCAAAATTTTTATACATCTATATAAACCATTTGCAATAGGAATGGTTGCGAAAAAATATGATCATGCTTGTTTATGGTTATGTCTGGAATTTCACTGTATTAAATACCATTGGCATGTGCTGTTTTATAGACACAATACAAACTTGCACACAGTTGTCCATAATTGACCAAGACAAAATGCATCATATGAAACTGAAACATCAAAGCATTTTATCATAGCTGGAAAATCTTGAACAGCATCACAAACCACATCAGATACGTACCTCCTCCACAGCAAAGAGTTTAACAATGTTGACGTGATTGAGCCTCTGCAGCACCTCAAACTCCCTCATCTGCACCTCATACGGTCTATTGTAGCTCACCAAGTTAAAGACCTTCACGGCCACCAGCTCACCTGTTTTCTACAGGAATATAAAGTAATTTAGTGTAAAATGTCAAGTCTATGCACTGTTTTTGTAAGTGATTTGGGAAAAAATTGTTGATGGTAAAGTACTTTGTTTCGTGCTTTGAAGACGCTGGCTGTCGCCCCCTGACCAAGAACATCATCCAGGGACCAAAGGTAGTTTGCTGTACTTGCCATGTTGACACAAGCAGATGACATGACTGTATCTGTGTATGACAAAAAAGTAAATTAGTAAATATTTAATGCTAAGTGTTATATTTAAAGCTGCAGTCTGCTGTTTTTCCTCTCTGTCACCATCTCTGTTCGAAATCTGCAATTGCAGTTTTTCACAGAATTATCAACTTTACGCTAGTTGTACTTCGACACTGAACAGCGTGGATGAACAATGTTTGAGCAATCACGATGGTGTCGAAACTGGTATCATTCTCTGGTGGCATTCAAAAATCACAGATTATTCTTTTTGGAAGTATGATCAACATAAGTAAGAAACATCCACTTTTGTTCCGGTTCTGACATTGCAGTAAATTGCGCTGATTAAATCTAAAAATCGCTTATCATATCACGCAAAACCGTGCTAATTATACTCTGTTAATGTTAACAACGTCAGCATTGCGTGACTACATATAATGTCCTTCCGTTAGCCACTGCGAACAAAGTCTTTTGCATTTTACAGCGGATGAATCTGTTGTCACTGTTGATTGTCGTTTGAACCTTTCTGGATCCGCCATCAAATTGATAAGTTTAATTATATCAAGTGCTGTGAGAAAAGACTATAAATCTCCACCTTCAACATCCTCACACGCAATATAGCCAACTAGCCGAGACTCTTCTTTATGTGACGTAATGACGCAAAGACATGCTCGAATCTCCCGCGGAAATCTACCAGTACCACTGGAATTAAAAACATTATTACAAGCTTACCGCTTTGAATCGAGCTAAAGCGAGCAGAGAGTTTTGAACACTGGCTGGTTCTCATATATGTATTTTGAATAATCTTTAACCCCCAAAAAAGCTACGGACTGAAGCTTTAATGCTCTAATTGAACTGCTCTCACAATATAATTGCTTTCATGATTGCGCTTCATTTAGTAGCTACTGTCATGATTTCACCTTTCCCCTAAATGTACTGCAATTTTATTCATGGGATTAATAAAGTATTCTCAGTGGAAGAAAACACTATTGAACATTTAACACAAAAATGTGTGTGTGTGTGTGTGTGTGTGTCCATGTCAAATGCAGAAGTTCATACCTGAGATAAATACCAGGTAATATGTGAATCATGTTGCCAATTAAAATATACTGTACAAACACACGTGACCATATGTGTGAGTGTCCATTATGAAGTTTATAGACTACCTTTGGTAACCAGGTAATATGTAAATCATGTTGCCAATTAAAATATATTGTACACCTACCCCACCCACACATTAATAAATATTGACAGTATTTAAACATATTTCATTGGCAACATGATTTACATATTACCTGAGCTTGAGTACACACACATACACAAACACGTCCATTGCAGTATACCTGAGCTCAGGAAAAGTGTAAATCATGTACTGTAACGTTAGCTAATGAAACAAGTGTGATTAAAGAGTGTATTAATCAAAAGTGACTTGCCGATGAATTTTTGACCTCACCACGTCTCATCACAACAGAAGTGTCAAATAAGGTCCATTTCCTTCCTAAATGACCTACAAACGAAGAGTGAGAACATAAAACAATCACACTATTTTTGCGAAAATTAGTTATTATTTAAAGAAAGATTATATGTGAATAAACTGCCGATACTTTGAATAGACTGCGAGGATTTCCCCTAAAATCATCTTCGTCGTCATCGCTCTGATTTGATTAGAAAATACAAAAACAAACCAACCATTTGTGTGTTAGATGTCGACGCATTTTCCACTTTAATCTGAGTTTGTCAATCCGTTTGAGTTATACAGACTAATTACTCTGTCAGTCCCCCAGTAGAAGTTATAAGAGCAGCTCGACGGAAACTCGATCAGCATCTACTTTCCTTTCCTTTCATTTCTGTTAGGAACTTCCTTGTTCGGTGCCTCTCGTTTGGAAAGGGTATTGTGTATCCGTTCATGATTTTAGAATAAGTTTAGATAGGAAAAATAACACAAGTTAAATGTTACTTTGTGGGTCAGAGTATTTCGTTTATTTTGCAAACCACTAACCATTTTTGTCCACAATAATAATAATATTTAAAAAAAAAAAAAAAAAAAACAACAAACCAAAATATTTATGTCGCCCTCTAGTGGAAGCGCAGAGGGACAAGCACATACTTCTCTAGAACAGCATGATCTCACTTCTGTTCAAAGAAAAGACGCGGAACTTTTACCTTAAGTAGATTGCGGAAGAAAATTTCCATATTTCCTGCTAAGGCTAAATAATTTTTCATCATTTTGCCACTTAATTTCCTCTATAACACAATAAGCACTTTCAGGTTCTTCATAACATTCTGACAGTATTCTGAAAGACTTGCGTACAATTTGTGTTACAAATACATTATTTTTATTATTATATTAGGATATTATAATTTATATAATATATCAAACAAGAAATGTGGAAATTATCAAGAAATGTGGACACATTTCTTTAGTTTCCTAATTAAATTCCTTGCTATGTGGATTTTTATTTATTTTATTTTTTTAGTCCAGTGAACAAACCGAATCAGACTTCATGGGAAATAGGAGCTTTAGTGGAATAGTCCCTTTCTAGTTCCATAGGAACACATACAGGTATGATGTGAATCACTCTTATAAACTTTATAAAAGACAAATAACAAATGTTTGATATGAATGCTTTTTGTGTAATGGCAGGTAAAATGCCAGATGGAAAATGGATCAGAAAAAGATCCACATTTATATTTAAAATTAAAGAAAGAAAGATATTGATAAAAAAATACAAACGTTACACATTTTACTATAGCATTTAATCAGGTAAGACAGGTAGGCCTATAGGAAGTATTTTTTATTTAAAATGAAAATCTAAAAAAAGTGGCTGGGAATATTGGGAAAAAAGATCATTTTCATATTTTTACACTTTTTTATTGAAACAAAGACATTTTTACCAGGTATTTCTTTTTGAAAGGGCTGGTAAAATTGCGGAAAAAAATATATTTTTTCACATTTTGCATCTTTTTATTAAAAAAATCAAATACACGTTTAGCAAGCAATTTTTTTTATTTAAAAATGTTTACTACAAGAACTACACGTGGAATTATATCATGTATATTTGAGTGGCACCTACTATTGCTGTAACTGTACAATATTGTACCAAAAAGAAAATAAAAAAAACCCACAAACAAAATAGGAAAAAAAAGAATGTACCTCTGTAATGTACACAATTGTATATACAAAGTACATCTGAACACAGGTTTCTCTGGTAACAGATATCTGAATGGACAACTATAAATATATCTGACAAGACAATTCATTTTACAGTCTTGCTTCGACTGGACACGAATTACGTTTTAACAATAGTTATGATTACAAAAAAGAGAAAGAAAATCACCCTCACTTAATTTGTTCACAAACATACAATGCAGATTCAAGTGTATAATGATTGATTTCAAATTGACTCAATGAAAGACAACATTTTGTGTGTAAACAGAGGCCTCGGCCAACAGCATACTATTAACATTACACATTTAACACACATCATGAATTACCTGCTGTCATTTGCATGTAAAAGTCCCACCCACAAAACAACTCCAATAAGACAGTTTTTCCAGTTGCCTTTTTGAGGTATCGGGAACAACACACACAGAACACACTTCCAATCATTTACACATGAACAAATGTCACCACCTGTGATGTTTTCAGAACACGACAGCACATTCAGAAAATAACGCGTTAGAAAAAGGCTCGTCCTCAAAAAAAAAAAAAAAAACATTACTCGGGTAATTCTTCGGTCATAAACATCTGTCCATAGATATTTTCCAAGAGTCACGGTCAGCCGTGCAAGACTGTTCAAGGCTCGTAATGCTTCAAAGTGAAGCAAGCTACTTTCGCCAACCACCACAACTCATTTTCTCAAATAATAAGGCCTCGCTTAGGAAAATACAGACTTGTCCGATCCATTCTGTCCTCGAAGGCATAATCAGGCTGTGTGAGGGACATTTAGCTATTTGGACAGGAAGATTGTCAGACCTTTTTGCACATTTTATCCTTCTGAGTCTGAAAATCTGAGGAAAGCGAGCCATGTTTTTACATGTGTGTCCCTTCTTTAGTCAGTTTGAATTAAAAGTCTTTCCCTTTTTGCATCGTAAAGCCATAAAACTGTAAAAAAAAAAAAAAAAAAGGCTGCTAAGATTCTGAATATACATATACTGTACGTAAACACACATACTAATACATAGATACCATGATACAGACCCAGAGTTGATTAATAAACTATAGGGAAAATTAAATAAAATTCTTTTTCTTTTATCTGTTTTTGCTTTTTTTTATACACAGGTGATGAAGAAATAATGTGCTTGCATGACATTCCTCATTTTTAGACACTTTTTTTTCCAGTTATAATCATAATTATTAAACTTCTACAAAACAACACCCTCTTTTAAATGTGCCCACTGATAGAGATAATATTACAATAAAATGAAACGTTAGACTGCTATAATAATTTCAGAAGTGCTTTCGAACGGTATGGAAAAGAATCCGTTTGTTAGGGAAGCCGTGTCCGTTCGCCATGCAAATATCTTGTGAATCCTCATGCAAAGATGTTCCTTCACCTTTGTCATGTTTAGGTGCACGTCTATGGTTGGATTCGCTAAAAGAGAAGCAGAAACTGCGCCGATGTGGATTATATGGTGATAAATGCACTGTAACTAGTGATAATTGTATAACAGATTTGTAGAATCTGTAGAAAAAGACGAGTTATGTCGGAGGTGTTTTTTTTTTTTATTCGATTCCCTGCGATGCTGTGCCGTCTGTAACCTGCTTCGAGTTGCGTCAGCACCCGAGTTTGGTAGGAAAAAAGTCTATCCATTGCTTGTTTGTCTTCAAAGTCTGACCCCTTTCCCATAAAATCAGGCAGAAAAACTCCAAACCACTCATTTGGGATTAGAAAAGAGGGATTGCTGATATCCATGTCTCAATCCAAACTAAAACAGTGCTGTAAAATCACTCCATAGTTTATTAATTCCACACTCACACACACTCACGCAAGCTTCCAATATCAGTTTGAGTTTGTTAAGTTGTCCGCAGTTTTCTGTTTCAGTCTGTGTCAGAGGGAATTACTAAGAAACAGATTGGAATAGACGCTGTAAAGCCTCAGACCGGACAGGACTTGTCGTTGGGTGGCGGAGGGGGTGGCGGTGGTGTTGGTGGTATGGTGGTGGTCGGGGATCCCATGGCTGGACTGCCCCCAGCCGAACTGCTTTTTGGGAACACAACAGGCTTGGGTTTGGTGGCTGGGGGTCTGCTATCTCTGAAGCTGGAGCCGGAAGCAGACAGACCTGTGGAAGACATTGACGAAAGAGGGCTCTTGGGACCGGCGCTCTTGCCGGGCCGGAAGGTGGAGGGCATGTCGCTCGCCGAACTGGCGCTGCGCTGCAGAGGATGCTGGGAGGAGTCGGCCTCGCGGAGCAGGCGGGAATGAAGCGGGCTGGAGGGTTCAGACGCCCCGCCGCTTTTTAGCTGCTCTAGGGTGTCCAGCACAACATCAGGAGCGTGTTTGACACTGCTCTGCCGCTCCAGCTCCCGCAGCTCGCTCAGAGCCGTGTTCATAGTGGCCTCAATGTCCTGAGAGAGAAGAGAAGTAAAAGAAGACAAATTTTAATTTTATATATGTGATTATTTTATATTTTATATATTTGAAACAAACAACACTTCTTATGCTGCTCTTCTTATTTTATTATTATTTTTACATTTTAAAATGCATTTTTTTAATGGATTGAATTTATTGTAATGTAATGTAATGTAATTTAATTTAATAAAAGACTTGAATTCACACACGTTTGTGGTCTCATATATAAAACCAAAATTGAAACAAACTTAAAAAAAGGTCATGCATAACTAAATGAATGTATCTCTTATGAAGGCTTAGTTAACATATAATATTTTTTGGGGCAAACAAAATATTATCTACAAAAATATTACAGTATTGACCAACTAACTTTTTAAAGTCTGTTTTATGAAATGGTTTTTATTTTGGACCCTGTATGGTAACCACATATTGATGGTGTGTTTAGTGTCATTTTTTTAGTACTTCGCTCCTTTTCAAATGAACAACATTTGTAGCTTTAGTTTTAGCCAAGGTCAGTCCGTTCTGATATCTGTTGTACAGGCAGTTCAACAACAAAGGATGACTTGACCGCAGGAATTCCAACTCAATTACAACCACAGTGGGGATCGATCCTGGACCTCTATCCAGCCGTGAAATTACAGTTCAAAGAAAGATAAATGGGATGCTTTAATACACAGACACTCTGGAGAGCTCAGCACTTTTTACAAAGAGGAAAATGGACTTTCAGTTTACCTGCATGACATTTTTATTCAGTGTAAGTTTGGATGAAAGCTGACGGGGTTTGAATGTTGCTGAATCGAAATAATACTTTTGAATGAATCACGTGCAGCAGTGAAGAACTGATTTGTTGTACCTGTGAGCTGTGCTCCACCTGAGCGATGACCTCCGGCTCCAGTGGTCTGTGGTTGCTGAAACTCTTGGATCGTCCTGCAGGAGTAGACTTTCGGAGCTGAGGACCTTCCACCTTAGTCTTCAGAGATGAGTGGCGAGTGATGGAGTTCAGGACGCTGTGAGCGCTGACTGGTCGCTTGTCTGTCCCCTCCTTGGCCAGTCCACCTGCAGGCATGGAGGAGGTCTTCAACCCCCCTGAGGCTCCAGATGAGCCCTCACCAAGACCCTCCACTGTGCGGATTGTTCTCCGGATGCTGGTTGATTCTGGACGTTTCCTCAACCTGAGGTGGATAAAGTGTAGGCAAAATGTCAATATTATGAAAATAATTTATTTGAATGATATGAGCAGAATTGAATGGTAATTAAGACATTTTAAGGGACTAAATTTTAAATTAT